ACAGTTTGGTTTGAGATTGGTTCAGAAGTGCAACGATTTGATTTGAGATGTCTTCAGGAATGCAGCAATTTGGTCTTAAATTGGTTCAGAAATGCAACAATTTGAGATTTCTTCAGAAATACAGTTTGATTTGAAATTTGTTCAAAAGTGCAATGATTTGATTTGAGATTTGTTCAGGAATGCAATAATTTGATTTGAGATTTGTTCAGAAGTGCAACAATTTGATCTTAAATTGGTTCAGAAATGCAACAATTTGAGATTTCTTCAGAAATACAGTTTGATTTGAAATTTGTTCAAAAGTGCAATGATTGGATTTGAGATTGGTTCAGAAGTGCAATAATTTGATTTGAGATTTCTTCAGGAATGCAGCAATTTGAGATCTCTTCAGAAATACGATTTGATTTGAAATTTGTTCAAAAGTGCAATGATTGGATTTGAGATTGGTTCAGACGTGCAATAATTTGATTTGAGATTTCTTCAGGGATGGAACAATTTGATCTTAAGTTGGTTCAGAAATGCAGCAATTTGAGATTGTTTCAGAAATACAATTTGATTTGAAACTGGTCCAGAAATGCAGCCATTTGATTTGAAATTGGTTCAGAACTACAACGATGTGATAGGAGTATGAGCTGATTGCAAAAGCAGAGATGAGATGCAGCCATTTTACTGCTTAAGCTTCCTGCTAAATTGCTTTTTCCAGGTACTTCCAGTGGATGTTTTATTTTTTTTAATGAACTTTGATTTTTCTTTGATTTTTGTCTAATCAGAAAGGACAAGTTTCACTGTCCCAGCTTAGCAACAGCAGGCTCATTAACCCTGGTGGAATTCCATTGGGAATTCTCATGGGAGAAGGTGTGTTTTCCAGTGACTGTTTCTGACAGTTCCTAGGTGTTCTCCAGCCCTACAGCACCCTCTTGTGTAGGTAGGGCTGCCTAAATTGAGGCAGCAGCACTGGCTGAAGAACCTCCCAGCCCTGGCAGCTTACCTGGTAGCTTACTGCCAGGGGCTGAGCACACCCACTGCTGCTTGGACGAGCCAGGCCATGGCAGCACATCAGTCAGGGTCCCTCACATGGGTGTCTGAGCTTTAAAAATGAAATTTTGCCAAGTTTGGGAAGACTGGAATATCACTGAGTTTTAAAAACATCTTACAGAAGGTCTTGGCTGGGATAAATAATGGTGTGAATGCATTTTTATTCATGAGGTGCCTCAAATCAGGGGAGGGCAACGAAGCTGCTGGGGAAGGGTCTAGAGGCCAAGTGTGGTGAGGAGCAGCTGAGGGAGCTGGGGGTGCTGAGCCTGGAGCACAGGAGGCTCAGGGGAGACCTTCTGGCTCTGCACAGCTCCTGACAGGAGCCTGGAGCCAGGGGGGGGTCGGGCTCTGCTCCCAAGGGACAAGCAATAGGACAAGAGGAAACGGCCTCAAGTTGTGCCAGGGGAGGTTTGGGTTGGACATGAGGAACAATTTCTCTCCCTGGAGGGTTGCCCAGGGCTGTGCCAGGCTGCCCAGGGCAGTGGTGGAGTCCCCACCCCTGGAGAAAGCCATGGAGATGTGGTGGTGCTGCGAGACACAGTTTACCAGTGGTCCTGGCAGAGTTAGATCAGTGGTTGGCTTGATGATCTTAAAGGTCTTTTCCAAGCAGAACAATTCCAGGATCTCCCCCTGTGTGAGATCCTCCCCGAGCAGGGCCAGCTGGAAGCCTGGGAACCAGGAGCAAGGGTTTGTTTTGACAGGAAAGCTGTCAGAGGTAGAACTTGTTGCACAACATTGGAGCTGAGAACATATTTGCTACTTGGCTGGGGGCTGTACAGTTGCACGGGCAGGAAGAGGCTGAAGACAAACACACCACAGAGCTGATGTTCCTCTCCTTTCCTCAGCCTGGCCTTGTTCCCTGATATTCCCCAGGCAATGCTGGTGCCAGCCCTGACCCGGAGCTGTGCTGGGCTTTCCCTCCCTGCTTTTAGCAGCAGTGCTCACCTCGTTTGGAGTCAGGATCTTAACTTCATTACACGTAGATAACCTAGATAAATTAAAAGCTTTTCCTTCATTAGCTGAAATTGTAAGGAGAGCTGAAGTCATTACACCTCAAAAGGAAAAAAAACTAGAAGGATTATATATTTACGCTTAACGATTTCTCTTAATTCTTGGACTATTTTAAGGAATCAAGTCAAAAGTTGACGAGCTGAAGGCAGCCTACGACCGGGAGGAGTCTCCCAACCTGGAGGAGTACGAGCCCAACACGGTGGCCAGCCTGCTGAAGCAGTACCTGCGGGAGCTGCCCGAGAACCTGCTCACCAAGGAGCTCATGCCCCGCTTCGAGGACGCCTGCGGCAGGAGCTCGGAGGCTGAGAAGGTCCAGGAGTGCCAGAGGCTGCTGAAGGAGCTGCCCGAGTGTAACCACCTCCTCATCTCCTGGCTGGTGGTGCACATGGACCACGTCATCGCCAAGGAGCTGGAGACCAAGATGAACATCCAGAACATCTCCATAGTGCTCAGCCCCACGGTGCAGGTACGGGCACCCGGCGGTGCTGCAGCAGCTTCAGCCCAGGGGGGAGCTGGGGTGGCAATGGGGTGGTGTCTGACAGGGTTAATTACAGCTTCTCTTTGGACCCTGGGGACCCAGAACACTGGGAAAGGGGGAGCAGAAGACTTTCTGAACGTGAGTTTGCAGAGCCTGGGCCTGACATTTGGGTTCATGGGGCAGTGCCACTAAAGCTGCAGTCGGGGTTTTCATCCTGCTGGGAGCAGAGGTGACTTCACGTGGAATTCCTCCTGTAATTCACACAGAGACACAACTTCTGCAGGCTTTTGGTTCAGTGATCACTCAGGGAAGGCTCTAGTGCTGCTTGATTGTAACATCCAGCCAATGAACCCTCCAAAATCCATCCTCCTGGTGCAGTGGGGACTTTGGTGTCACTGCTGGGGATGGACAGCTCAGTTTTCCAGTAAGATTTTGTGGTTTCTGGATCAATTCCTTAATAAACCTTGGCAACATTTAATTTAAACACGGCCTGTGCACAACATGAAACATGATTGGGTGTGGGTCTTGTAGAAGGCAACCCTGGCTTTAGAACTGAAAGAATCTTAAGAGGAGGCCTCGTAGCAAAAGGACTGAGGGTTATTTTGGGCTGTTTTGCTGCACCAGAGGCTTTCCAGCTAACAAAAATAGTAACAATTAAGACAAACCAGCATAGGCCCAGTTGTCTTGGTAGCAGCAGGATTCTTGTCTTCCTTTCAACATGAATTCTTGAATTTTAATGGAAGATACAGCATGAAAATAAATCCCAGTTTCTGTCTTGTGTTAAGGAATAGAGCACCTGTGATGGAGATAACTGTGGTGGGTCAAGATGTGTAAAAAATGCAGAGTTTAGGGTGAAAATGCCTCAGACACACGGGTAAGAGAGAGAGTGAAGGGATTCCCTGAGGCCAGCACTGGGTCGTTTTTAGAGTATCAGCTTTAATCAAGATTTTAATCACTTAGGGCAAGCTGACAGGACGACGACTCCCAGCCAGACACACTGATGGCTGCTCATTCCTGGAGGCAGCTCCCGTGCTCCACAGGTGGAGGCAGTGAAGAAACCATCCCATCCCAACCAGTATTTTTCTCCATCCTTCCTTGGCAGATCAGCAACCGTGTGCTCTACGTGTTCTTCACTCACGTCCAGGAGTTCTTTGGGGACGTGACCCTCAAGCAGGTGACAAAACCCCTGCGCTGGTCCAACATGGCCACGATGCCAGCACTGCCAGAGACCCAGGAGAGCATCAAGGAGGAAATCAGGAGACAGGTTGGCAGTCACTCGAGTGATTCTCCCTCTGCCTTTCGTTGCTCCAGCAGTAAGGTCTCACAAGTTGTTACAGACTCTTTACTCACAGTTCTCCTGTTGGTGGAGACTGCTGGGATGAGCTGGGTGGTTCTTACCCCCTGTCCTGTGACAGTCCTGTGAGGACTGAAGGTGTGTCTGCTGGGGGTGGTTAGGAGAAGGTGTTAGTGTGGGGTCTTTAATATTGCTCTTCAGCTCGTTCTAGAACACGTGCCAAGGCTTGTTGGAGCAGTCCCACCTCTCTCCAGCCTCCTCTCAGGGAGCTGTCGAGGCCAGGAGGTCTCCCCTGAGCCTCCTCTGCTCACAAACCCCAAAAGATTTTTCTTGTCAGTGTGCCCTGCTACGAGGTATTAACGACACTGATTTCTTTGGCAATGTTTCTAGGAATTCCTACTGAACTGTTTACACAGAGACTTGCAAGCAGGGATAAAAGACTTATCCAAAGAAGAGAGACTCTGGGAGGTGCAAAGAATTTTAACAGCTCTTAAGAGGAAACTAAGAGAAGCCAAGAGACAGGTGGGTCACTTGCCTCTTTATTGGCCAGACTTCTAAACCACAGGTCCTGAGTTTCTGTCCACGCAGAGGCACCCACTTGGATCAAACCACCTTTCAGTCTTGGTACTGCAGATTTCTTACCTTTTGTAGAATCACAGGCTGGTTTGGGTTGGAAAGGAACTTTCAAGGTCACCCAGTCCAACCCCCTGCCGGGAGGCGGGTCCAACCTCCCCTGGGATGGTTCCAGGGATGGGGCAGCGACCACCTCTCTGGGCAGCCTGGGCCAGGGGCTCACCACCCTCAGTGTCAAACATTTCTTTCTTCTCTCTAGTCTAAATCTCCCTCTTTGAGTTTAAACCCATCACCCCTTGTCCTGGCACAACAGGTCCTGCTCAGAAGACTGTCCCATCTTTTCTGATGGGCCCCTTGAAGCCCTGGCAGCCCCCAGGGGGTCTCCCCAGCTGGAGCCTTCTCCTCTCAGCTGCCCCAGCCCAACTCTCTCCTGCTGGGCTCCCAGCAGAGGGGTTCCCCCTTGGGCCATTTTTGTGTCCTGCAGTGCCACAAGAAATCACTGGAAGATTCAAGGTTAACAAACCCCAGAAGCATTTTTCTCTAACCTGCCCCATGTCCCAGCCAAGGGTCAGACCTTGCCAGGAGCTTCTAAGACAACCGTGACAGCCATTCTAAATTTGGAAAAGAATAGGTTAAAAAAATACTCTCAGTTTTCACAGTCAATCCTGTGAAATAAAAGCTGTACAAGCTGCTCTGTCCCCACGGCAGGAGTGTGAGACAAAGATTGCCCAGGAGATCGCCAGCCTGTCGAAGGAGGACGTCTCCAAAGAAGAGATGAACGAGAACGAGGAGGTGCTGAACATCCTGCTGGCACAGGTAGGGCCCAGCAGGGCCCGGGTGGGGAGGGGGCTCAATCACCCCCCAAAGCTGAGAAGAAGTGAAGTGAAGGTGGGAGGCTCCAGGCTGGGGGTGGGTGAGGGGGGAAGGGGAGCTGACCCTGGCTGAGGACACTCCTGGACAGCAGGGGGACACTGGGCACCAGGAAGGAGCCTTTCCAAGGCTGTTAGCAACAACGTGCTTCAGCTCCAGCCAGGGCCAGTGCCATTGCCCACCCCCCTGCTGAGCCACGGAGGAGAGGAGTCTAGCTTGGCTTTTCCACCTTCCTCTGCTCCTCTCACTGGCTTTGGTCTCCTCTCCACTCTGCCTGCCCTCACTGGTTCACCTTCAAAGGCAGAGCTGTCAATGGGGTTTTCCAGTGGCTCCACTGCCTGGCCAGAG